CTTTCCTGTTCCTCTGATGCTGCCTGGCCTGCTGTGTTACTCCAGCTCCACACTGTGTTATCTCAGGACAGTAAGAACTTCTTTAAATATATAAAAAAGAAGAGAGAGTCCAAGGACAACACAGATACTGAAGCTAGGGATATGAAAATGGGCAACCAGGAAATGGCAGAGGAGTTGAATAAGTACTTTACATCAATCTTCACAGTAAAGGACATTAATAGCTCCAAAATTTACAAAATATTCAAGGGAAAAAGAAGGAAAGGAAATACAAACAATAGCTACCACTACAGAAAGAGTACTATGAAAACAAATATGTCTAAACAAATGGACCTGATAGGATACATCCTAGAGTGTTAAAGGAAGAAGGTACAGAGAAGTGGATGCACTGATAGTAATCTTCCAGGAATCCTAAGACTCTGAAAAGAAAAGTCCCAGAGATTGAGAAATGCCAATATAACATCTTTGCTTAAAAAGGGAAGAAAACGAAAAAAAAAATACAGGTAACTATAGGTCAGTTCAATTATTGGGAAAATGTTCGAGTCTGTTATAAAGGTTGTAATAGCAGAGCAACTATTAAATACACAAGATCATGAAGCAGAGTCAGCATGGCTTCATGAATAGGAAATCATGTCTGACACATTCACTAAAACTCTTTTAGGAGTTAATAAGCAGGATAGATAATGGGGAAGCAATGGATGTAATATATTTGGAATTTCAGAACATGTTTGAAAAGGTACCACGTGTTAGGCTACTCAGTAACATGTTGGGCGTAGTATATTAGCATGGATAGAGAATTAATTAACTAACAGAAGATCAAGAGTTGGGATAAGGGGAGGCATTTTCAGAATAGCAGCCTGTAACTAGTGGAGTGCCACAGGGATCAGAGCTGGGGCCACAATTATTTACAATATATTAATGACTTGAAAGAGAAAAGTGAAGAAACTATTGTCAAGTTTGCAGATGATACAAAAATAGGTCTACAGAGGGATACAGACAGCTTGAGTGAGTGGGCAAAAACCTGGCAGATATGTAATATAATGTGGGGAAATGTGAGGTTATACACTTTGTCAGGAAGAATAGAGGAACTGAATATTATTTAAATGGGGAAAGAGCGCATAAAGTTATAGCACCGAGGGATTTGGGAATCCTCAACCATGAATCACAAAAAGCCAGCATTCAAATTCATTGGGTAACAGGAAAGGCAAATGGAATGTTGGCTCTTATTTCAAAGGAAATGGAGTATGAAAGTAGGACGGTTTTGCTAAATCTATAGAAGGCACTAGTCAGACCACAGCTAGAATACTAGTAGGGCAGTGGATGTTGTCTTCATGGACTTTGCTGAAGCATTTGACAAGGTCCCTCACGGTAGGCTGGTCCAGAAGATTAAGTCACGTAGGATCCATGGTGAGCTGGTAAGTTGGATACAAAATTGGCTTCGTCACAGAAGACAGAGGGTAGTTATGGAGGGGTATTTTTCTGATTGGAGGTCTGTGACCAGTGGTATTCCGTGAGGATCAGTACTGGGACCTCTGCTGTTTGCAATATATATATAAATGATTTGCATGGAAACGTAGGTGGTCTAATTAGTAAGTTTTCAGAATACACAAAAATTGGTAGCGTTGTGGGTAATGAGGAAGGATACAGCAGGATATAGATAAGTTGTAAAAATTGGGTGGAGATGGAGTTTAATCTGGACAAGTGTGAGGTGATATATTTTGTGGACTCAAAGGCAAGAGGAAAGTATACAGTAAATGGCAGGACCCTTAGGAGCATTAATGTACAGAGGGATCTTGGGGTGCAAGTCCACAGCTTCCTGAAAGTAACAAACACAAGTGGATAAAGTGATAAAGAAGGCATATGGCATGCTTGCCTTCATTGGTCAGGGCACTGAGTATAAAAGTTGGCAAGTCATGTTACAGCTGTATAAAACGTTAGGTAGATCACATTGTGTACAGTTCTGGTCACCACACTATATGAAGGATGTGGAGGCTTTGGAGAGGGTGCAAAAGAGGTTTACCAGGATGTTGCCTGGATTGGAGTCTATTAGCTATAAGGAGAGGTTAGACAAACTTGGACTATTTGTGCTAGAGCGTCAGAGGCTGAAGGGCGACCTTATAGAAGTATATAAAATTATGAGAGGCATGGATAGGGTGGATAGTCAGAGTCTTTTCCCCAGGGTAGAAATGTCAAATACTAGGGGGACATAGATTTAATGTAAGAGGGGGAAAATTTAAAGGAGATGTGTGAAGCAAGTTTTTTACACGGAGAGTAGTCGTGTCTGGAACATGCTGCCAGGGGAGTTGGAGAAGCAGACACAATAGCCATGTTTAAGAGGCACTTAGACAGACACATGAACAGGCAGGGACCAGAGGGATACAGACCATGTGCAAGCAGATGGGATTTGTTTAGAATGGCATCATGGTTGGCATAGACAGGATGGGCCAAAGGGCCTTTTTTGTACTGTACTGTTTTATGTTCTTATGTTCTACTTTTTATGAATTGAACCAGCTGCTTAAGTAGGATATGAACCAATGACCCCGGGTCAAGCTGCACCTCATGGATTACTAAACTAGGCACCATCTTAGCACCAACTCCACCAGATTTCCCCTTTTAGAGACGGAAACCTGCCATTCTTACCTGGTCTGGCCTACATGCGACTCCAGACCCACAGCAACATGACTGGCTCTTAACTGCCCTCTGAAATGGCCTGAGACTGGTCAGCCATAAAAGGGATGGGCAATAAATCCTGGCCTTGCCCCAAAAGCCCAATCCCAATAATACACAAAGAAAGAGATCGTTCCTTACCCCGATGTCAAACAAATTAGAATCATAGAACTTTATAGTACAGAAAGCAGCCATTTGGCTCATCATGTCTGTACTGGCTCTGGAAAGGCTGGAGAGTGCGATGAGCTGGATAGCTCTATCTCCGTAGCTCTCTAAATTCATCATTTGTAAGTTAGCCCCATATGTTTTCCCTCTTCTCAAAAATATGAGTGAGCAGAAATGTGGAGATGATATTTCAGTCAGACAGTGAAAGATGGGTCTGAGAGATGCTGATAGATTTTGGGACGATCGACTGTGTGGACCGTCCCTCATCATTGACGGTCCATTTATTCAGACAGTTAACCTCATGCATTTTCTGCATTCTCATTGGTCATTACTTATTACCTGGGAAAGTGGCGAAGGGTGCTGTGTTTGAACACCTGTTAATGCTGAGATAAAATCGGAAATGTTGGACCACTCCAGCAGGAAATGACATGGGACCGGAGTGCCAGAGAGGCCAAATTTCCATTACTTGGTAAAAAAAGTTCTTTTCACAATAATTCCAGAGGTTCATTACCATCTTTACTGATAATTCCAAAACTTTTACACTCAATAAAATTTCAAAAACTGCCAATGTTTTCTGACTCATATAGTCCAGTTACATTAGCACAACAAAACCAACAAATGTTTGTGATGCTAATGACATCTCAGTATATGTGTGCACCAAACAACACAGCACTGAGGCTAAAGATCAGTTAGAGGCTAGAACAGACCTTCTGGACAGAGGGTTGTGGGCTGGAGTAACCAATGCACACACTATTACAGAATGGTAAGGAAAATGGGGTAAATACTCGAAGCAGAAGAATATACAATATAATGGGCTGAACGGACTGCTTTGGGACTGTAAATGCTGCTGGGTGTTTTTCTGTCAGGCTAAAAGTTGAGTTATTCCAATTTCCTTAAAATCCTGATGAAAGGAGGAAGGGGTAACGTTCGAAATGTCCTGCTGCTGGGCACTAACTGATATCCTCTGCTAGATAAGGAGAGAAACAGGCCAGAAGTGAGGCCCTCACAGGCTGAATATCTTCATTATGGTAAATATGATGCATTAACTGAGGACTAATGCCCACGGTCTGTGTCCCTACCTGATACACTTCAATCCTCTGCTCATTCCGTTTGGCGCTGGTGTTTGGAACACGGAGAGCTCGGAATTCTGCCCGGAATAGGTTGGAAACATTCTTCTCCATGGAGGACACATTGAATCGGAAAACCTTCGATGTGATCCCACGGCATGAACTGACGTCATCTGGAAAAACAAACCATCACTTTAGTGTCATCGTGGCTGCGTCCTCAAGCCAGGTACAATCACAACAATTATACAGAGCAGAAACAAAACAGTCTGAGTTACTGAATGCACTGCAATCAACGGTGTTTATATATAAAATAACATATACTGTACCTGAGAGTGAATTACATACTGGCATTTCGTTTGAAGGGTTATAATTGTCAAAGAGAAGGCTGGATCAAGGTTTGGAAATTGGCTGGAGACAGAAAGTTGAAATTCTGGGCAGGAAGTGCCTGGTAGTGTCCCATCAGGATCCGTGTTACAGCCTCAACTACACACTGTCAAAGAATCATAGAAGCCCTACAGTGTGGAAACAGGCCATTCGGCCCAACAAGTCCACACCAGACATCCCACAC